CGTCCAGTGGTATAGTCATCGTTTATGGTATTAGTACTACCTGTGGCGTTAGTCATCATTTGGTCGACTGTCTAAGAAGTGATCCTTCTGGTTTTTTTCCTTCTCTATGTTCTACTACATTCAATTCTTCTTTTATTGCGTTTAACTCATACATTGTATAAAAAGATTCAAGTCCAACGTTTAGAATATTTCTCTTAATATCATCGTTATTTCTTTGTCCTAGTTAAATACTTTCTATAAGTTTGTATTTAGGTTCTGAATATTTATCTTGTAATTTTTCTACTTCTAAATTGTCAAAAGCATACATTATTTTATCTAGAATTTCATCATCTAATTTATCATAAAGGACATTTATTTCTTCCGGAGATTCTATTTCTACTAAAGTGGTTAAGAATTCTTCTTCGATATCGTCTGTTGAATTATTTTGTCTTGTATATTTACTAAACCTTATGCTAGCTTCTCCACTATGTTTTATATATATCATATTATTTTCGAGAATCTTTTTGGTTATTTTAGTAAGATTTGGTAATTCTCATTTGGTTCCTTCATGGATTATACTGCTTACTTTTCTAGCCTCTATCATCTGGACATATTTGCTACTAAAAAGTTTAACTATTTCATTGAATTGAGCTTTGAACTTTAAATTATATTGATTAACTCTCCTTCCCATGAATAAAGTATTAATTAATAAGTTTTCATATTGTCCGGTCATATTATATCCCTTTGTGGATATGGCTATTTTTATATGTTTACTAAATTCTCTAGTGGTCATCGTGAAATTAGGAATATATCCTATAATGACAGTGTTGGCTGCTAGATCTATTTCATCGCTAGTTATTTGTGCTTGTTGATAGTTATTCCATCGATCATCATAAATATATACGAGTACTCTGGTTCCTACTTCTGATTTATTTAATCCTACTATTCCGATCATTATTACGCCTAAATACATAAGCTCTAATTTACTTTTTTCTAGCTCCTAACAGGCTTCTAGCGTTATGAGATCTAAAATTACTTGATTATTTACTATACTTATCCTTCGCTAGCTAAGATGATTATATATATATATCTTGCTCTGAAAATTTAATAAATTATTAGAATATAGATTAACTTTATTAGATACTTTTTTTATTCCTTTTTCTATATAATTTTGAGCATCGTGCTCATTATCATATAGATCTTCTACCCTCATTATTATTTTTTTTTTTTTTCTAAGGACAATGGTCATTCTCTATGTGGTTGTAAAAGATTTACACGCTTGGTTTTAGTCGGGAAGGAATTAGTTGATAACTTTAAATCTTTTATTTTATCTGATAGTTCAGATAATTCTCTAGAGATTTTCTAGGAATACTTTCTTGTATTACTTTTAATTTTTCTTCAAATTTATTAACTTTTTCAGATAACAAGAGTAATAACTGGATTAGAAAGTTATTTTGTCTAATATTTATATTAGTTGATTGTACATCTGTCTTAAAACTTGTAAATCCTACAGGGTCTTTATCGATAAAGTTCCGCTAAAACTGCTAGATAATCAGGATTAATAGTGCTCATAAAACTATTGTAATAGTCTTTGGATATATGTTTTTAAAGATTTTAAATATTCTATAGTTATTTTTTGATTTTCTATAATATTTTTAATATCACTGTTTATGTCCTTAATAGCGACTAATATTATTTTGTTGTCTAGATTATTTGGACTAGAATTCTGGTCTAGTTGGGTTTTAATATAATCGAAATTTTCTCTTAGTCGTTTTATAGAGTTATCTAAGTTATTAAATTATATTCTACTCATAAACCTAACTAAAATCTTTGCCGTCTAGTTTATAGAATATTCTATATTAGAATAATTTTAGATCTAAGTTCTTCTATTCTTCGTTGAAGGCTAGGTGTTGTATTACCGAATTCTAGTGAAGTGTAACAGTTTCTAAGTACTGTTTGCAGGAATTCTAGAATTTCTATAAGTTCTTCTTTGGTTAATTTGTGCATAAATTAAATTTTAGGGGTGAAAATATGATTTTAACTTAATAAAGGGGTTCAAATAGAAAGTCTTCACTTATGGTTCATGATATAGTAAATATACAAATTACGTTCATGAGTTGGTAATATACTTTTGCTACTACCACGAACTTTTATGTAAAATTCCCATTATTAAAATTCTCCATGTAGACAGAGGATGATATAAAATTGTTTTTTTGGTTCGAATTCAGTCCCTAAAAATTAATTCAAGACCATTGGCTAAATCCGGGAGGTTAAATTGACATTGGTAATTATAATTATTTTTTATTATCTTCCTTTTAAGTAGTGTCGGGTTATTCTATAATTTATCATCAAACACATGCAATCTTCCGTGTCACATGTATTTTGGTCCTTTGAATTCGAACTCAGCAATCTACATATAATCCTATATATATATATAGTATTGTATTATATAACATACATGTCCGTATAAAGATAAAGAGAGAGATAGAGGTGGAAGGAAGTGGCCACTCTCACTTTGTCCACTTCCATTGGATGGATGTCACCATTCTTTGTGAAGTGTTGAGGATAAGCCAAAACAAAAAAAAAAAAAAAAGACACATAGTCCCAGAACCCTTTATCTCCCAGAGGAGTGACCATTGACAAAATAAATATATATAGAACAATTATATATTTCCAACAAAAAAAAAGTTATACCGAAGGTGTGTTTTGTTTGTGGGTCGGTCAAATAATAGTATATTTAACCTTATCCACCAAACATTATTGGCCGATTCAATAACATCTATAATGAATAACTAAATCTATTTATTTCTACACGTACATTTGATGAAGGTGTATAAATAGAGGGACCTTTGACTTTCTTTGTTTTAAATTCTTAATGGTAAGTGTTATTCCTGATGGAGTATGGGTACGTACCTCCACTTGCTGTTTTCATTTAATTTACTGTTTTTAATCACGTAAAAAACCAAAGTATAATAGAAAATACACAAAAATAAGAAAGCAACTTTCTTTTATATATTTTGGTGGGTAAAGAAAGCAACTTTCTTTTCCTCTCGTTTTTAAGGAAAAGAGGGATAGGATAGTTGACTCCAATACATGGTTTGATATTGTCCGTTTTGAATTTAAAGATTATGATTTTATTTTTTGTTCAAACACTAATTGAACGTGTTGCAAAATAATTGGAGCCACGTACGTATCATTAATAGTGATGCAAGATTCCATAATGGAATGGGTAGGAATGCAAGAGAAGCTAGGGTTCCCGGGAATCTTGGTAAGTCCACCTATCATTGATGTAATTTTGTGTAAGCAAAATGAACAACTTGTGAGCTTCAATCTTAATTGACATGTGTTAGTTGCATGTCCTTTCATGGTTTGAAAGCTCCTTATGTATCCCATATATGTCTTTTCTATCTTTATTTATCAAAAACATATACTATATTTATATAGTAGTACGGTATATGCTGACATTTTGCTTCCTGAATTCCTGATTCTCATACATCATAGTTGACATTATCCATGTGATTTCTTTTTACACTTGCGTAACTAGAGTCCTAGTAACTTGGAGTTCCAAACAGGGCCAGATGCATTGCAGACACACAATTTATATATATATATATATAGAGAGAGAGAGAGAGAGAGAAGAAAGCAAATCCAGAAAGAAAAGCCAATTAAAATGACGATTGGCATGAAAGTTTGTTTAACATTAATTCGTAGGGAGAGAGCCGGACTATATATTCGTGAAGAATCCTAGTAACTTGGAGTGCGAAATAGGACTAAATGAAGAGAGAAAGATATAATATACACATATTTATGTATATAGAGAGATAGAGAGAGACCGCTACCAAAATGACGATAGTTTGTTTAACCTCCGGAAAATGGTCGGGCCAAATTAAGGGATTGAGTTTGTGTGTCATCACTCATGATGTCAAAAGAGTTTCCTACTGGACCCCACATCCAATGCCCCAATCCTTCTTTCCTATGTCATCATGTTTACAATAATGCCGGACACGAGGCATTCTCACCCGTGCACAGCTGCCACCTTCTCTCCAACACTTTTCTTTGGTTACAAGGTGGGACCCGGAAAATTCCGGAAAAAAAAAATGGGATCCGGATCATCCCGTGCATTTTAAATTGAGAATATATATAATCTTCATTACAATCGGCACAGATTTAATCACGTCATTATTTAAAATGTAAAATTATAAGCACTGATTTAATCACGTCATCATTTAAAATGTAAAATTATAAGTATGTAAAAAAAAGAATAACGTAACTGAATCTAAATCATAGAATTAAATCTTCCCATTATTCAATAAAAAAAATTCCCAAGAGGAGAATCCTTTCTCGTAATGGGAATTATGGGATGCGGGCTAGTCCCATTAACAAAAATTCTTATTATTGTAAAATTTGAAGAGAGTCATAATGTAGTAATATTCATGTAACATCCATACAAACATTTATTTAAGGCATTTAGTTAAAAGATTTATCACATATTATCATTGTTGAGGTCTATAAAGACTTCAGTCATATATGTCACATAATTAGTGTTATTAATCAATTATATCTTGACACATTAGTAAAAATAAATATGTTTAAGTGACTATTATCAATTTATCACTATATGTCATCGATAACAGTATAGGTCCAACCATCACACCACACGTGACACGAACCCCTTCATACACCATCACCATGCGTGCGACTCTCACAGCATACGGGGCTCGCACAAAGACTCCTAAATCATTTGTGCCGAAGATTGCATGTGGAGGGTTTTCAAACTGCAAAACAGGCCAAAAGCCCAACGAGGCCCAAAAATAAATCACATCCCACATAACATAACTGATAGCACTAGATAAAGCCCAAGGCATTAATTCAATGTGCTTTCAGTCTTTATTTGCATTCACATGGGAGCTTGTGTCACATGGGAGCTTGTGTGTGACTTTATATACGATGGGTGTCTGTGTGTTTTGTGTGTGTCACTCTGTCTTAACTATTTTCTAGGGAGAGGATAATAACACCCATCATGCAAGTGAAGAAAAAGAATAAACTAACTGCAAGTTTTTAGCAAACATAAAATCCCTAATAAAAATTTAAAATAACTAAAAATTCAAAGTGAAGCTGCAAATTATAAAACTAGCATACATAGGAAGATGACAACACTACTAGAACTGCAACTTTGTCGCAACTGCTTCAAATGCTGCTACTACCGGCAGAGCTGCTCAACAGCCGTCACAACCTGGGCAGGTTGAACCACAGTCCATTCTTCCAATGTCCCAGCATATGGCGTAGGCACATCCTGTGATGATAAACATACAATTGGGGCATCCAAATAATCATGGAAATTCTCATTAATAGCTGCTGTCAAGCTCGCACCAATTCCACCTGTCCGCATGCACTCCTCCACGATCAGCACACGATGTGTCTTTTTCACTGAATTCCCGATGGTGTGAAGATCAAATGGTTTCAGCGACCTGATATCAATGACTTCAGGATCATACCCCTTGTTCACCAGTGTCTTGGCAGCCTGCATCACATGATACCTCATTCTGGAATAGGTTAGAATAGTGACATGTTCCCCAGGCCTAACCATCTCTGCTTCCTCGAGACTTAGAACATACTCTTCATCTGGTATCCTTTCCTTGAGGTTGTAGAGCAAGACGTGCTCAAAGAGTATCACTGGGTTCTCACTTCGGATGGCAGCTTTCATCAAACCCTTGGCGTTATAAGGGGTCGAGCATGCCACCATTTGGATACCTGGGATTGATTGGAAATATGACTCGAGGCGCTGTGAATGCTCAGCCCCAAGCTGCCTGCCGACTCCACCAGGTCCTCGAATAACCACTGGTATGGTGAATTGGCCACCGGACGTGTAGTGGAGCATGCCACAATTGTTGGAAATCTGGTTGTAAGCTAGGAGGAGAAACCCCATGTTCATTCCCTCAACAATTGGCCGCAGGCCAGTCATGGCAGCACCAACGGCCATGCCAGTGAAAGAGTTCTCAGCAATAGGGGTGTCAAGAACCCTGAGGTCACCATACTTCACAGCCAGGCCTTTTGTCACCTTGTATGAGCCTCCATAGTGACCCACATCTTCACCTATTACACACACATGGGGATCTCTGTCCATTTCTTCTTCCAGGCCTTCACGAAGTGCTTCAAAAAGTAAAAGTTCATGCCTAACGGGTATAGAGTTAATTTTGTTAACTGTAAATTCAACAAAAAATGAATCCATAGGAATAACAAATATGGATATAACATTGAACTGCAGTCTAATGCAACTCATTCCCAAGGAAACAAAGTTAATTCTGTCAACTGTAACTTCAAGTATCTATGAAGCCATAGGAATAACAAATATGTATACAACATGGGGCTGCAGCCCAATGCAATTTAATGTTTTTGCAGTTCCTTTTAGCCATTTATATGCATGAAGCAAACGGAACGTCATTTTCTTTAGTATGTAGCTGTCACAAGCTAAAGTTGAATGCAAGGACAAATAATTAGTCACAAAGATGTGGTACATTATCGTCATATGATACACCCAAAGCTAATACTGTACTTATCAAAAGTCAAGTAGAACTAATATCATATAAAAGAGAGACAAGTCAAAGTCAGGAGCATACTTACCAGCATCTCATAGTGCATACAATTTGGTACATTTTACTATTTTAGAGGTAAAATAATGTGTATCCCTGATATGCGACCAATCGTAACATTAGTACATTAGTACATGATTTTAAACACTAGAAACAAGATAAGATAAATTCAGACTTGACTTTTGGCATCAACCACCACCACCAAAGCCTTTTTCCCAACTACTTGTGGGTCGGCTACATGAATCCTATTTTTCCATTCCACTTTATCTAGGGCCATGGGCCATGGCCTCAGTCAACCCATATGTTATCATATCCTTGGGGGTCAGCTTACATGAATCGTATTTTTACATTCCACTTTATCTAAGGCCATGGGCCATGGCCTCAGTCAACCCATATGTTATCAAATCCTTCCTTACTAACTTACCCACATTAACTTTGGTCTTCCTCTTCAACTAGTATTACCCTCAATATGGACTAAGTCACTCTTCCTAACTGGCGCTCTTGACTTTTGACATTTTACCCAAAATAATAATAATAATAACACAGGTTTTCTTTTCCCAAATAAAAATATATGTATCATGTACATTAAGTTTAAAAACAACATTGCTCTTGCATTCTTGTGCCACCTTTTTTTTTTTTTTTAAATAATAATAATAATATAAAAAATCTATGTTATGTAGAATCTCATGTCATTTAAGTCTGGCCTCTGTATTAACAACAACATCATTATTACACCATCGTTTCAGATTTTTGAAAGAATGAGGGAATTTTCAGTTACAGGAAACATTTTAAAAAGGCCATGTTAGGATCTTACCCCCTATTGGATATGAATAGTTGAGACTCCCATAACTTAGTGAATCTATGCAGATCAAAGGGGAATAACTGTTGGAAAACGATTTTCATAGCGGAAGCAAAAAAAATATCATTTTTTTTGTGAACCAGTTAAGAAAGAGAAGAAAAACAACCTTAGGACAACTTGTTGATTGTCAATATGAGAACACTCTATATCTTTCTTGAACAATCTTGAATTCTTGAGCTTCAATTCTCCTCTTGATCATTACTCCTGTGACCTTGTGTGGAATCCACAAACTTAGGAAGGGTGGGCTTCAAATTAGGAATTAGGGTTTAAAAGAGAAAGAGAATTTAGACTTGCGCACACTCACGTTCTCCTTAGGGTTGGCCGCCACAAGTGTAAGATATAAGAGATATAAGTTGTAAAATAAATAAAGGAAGTGGGTGGTTTAAAAGTAAATCAAATGAAAATAGGAAGTGTGGCTCAATATCTTGATAACATATGTGCATGTTTTATGTTAAATACAAGCTAAAGCAATGTGTAGCTTAAGCTAGTATCTTATATATATACATATATATATATATATACATGTATAGTTGTCAAATAGCTTCTAACAAAATAAATGTTCAAATTTATTTTGCATGGAAGGGACAAGTGTCCCTTGGAAAATATTCTCAACACTTGTATAGCATACAAGTGTCGAGACACAAAACAAATGTTTTGTGAAAAAAAAGAGGTCATGTGTAGCATTTGTTTGCCTATGCTCTCATGCATAAAACACTTGTAGATACATCAATAGTGTTAACCACCATCTATTTTAAAAGCTTAAGCTGTCAAAAAGGGCATAATTTTAATATTTAAATCCTTCAACACGCCCCTCACATGTGTGGCCTTCTTTTGGTCCAACATGTGTTTTCAATTTTAATTATCAAGATGACAGTGAGGTTTGAACTTGAGACATTTGGCTCTAATACCATGTTAACTACCAATTACGCTAAAAGCTTAAGTTGTTAAAGAGGGTGTAACTTTAATATTTAAATTCTTCAACAAATAGGATATTTGTACATGAAGACATTTGGACTTAAGGGATCACCACATTTAGATATTATAATATTTGTCTCCAATATATATACAAAAGAAAGGAAACAAAGGAGAGAAAAGAGAGACTCCTTCCTCTCTTTTGTTTCCTTTCTTATGTATTTATATAATGGAAACAAATGTTACAGTATATATATGTGTGTGTGTGTAGTGGCCCTTTAAGTCCAAATGTCTTCCATGTACAAATGTCCTATTACTATATCTACAATTATTTTATGCATGAGACCATAGGCAAACAAATGCTACATGTGACCTGCTCCTTTTTTTTTTTTTTTTTTAACAAGACACTAGTATGTTATACAAGTGTTCCAGAATATTTTCTAAGGACACTTGTCCCTTCCATGCAAAATAAATTTTAACCCTTTTTGGCAACTATCCGTGTGTGTGTGTGTATGTATATATGTATATATAACATACTAGCCACAACTTCCAAAAAAAATAAAAAAGACATACCAGCCACTCTGGCTTTAGGGAAACCACGTTTTTTTTTCTAACTAGAATACACATGCATACATGACACATAAAACATGCACAATTGTCATTAAGACATCAAGCCACAATTCTCTGTTTCATTTTATTTACTTTTAAACCACCTACTTCCTTTATTTATAATTTTCACCTAGACTTATTTTACACCTTATATTTCTCATATCTTACACTTTTCTCCCACTCGCAAGTAAAATTTTATTAATCAATTCCTATATCTATTGTTTTCAATCAAATTTATAAATTTAGTTTTACCAATTGAATTAAATTTGTAGACTTAGATTAAATTGACATTAATAAACAATAAAAATCTCAATGAAAATCAGGATATTACAAGATGGGCCTATCCATACCTTGGCTCCAATAGCCCAATTAAATGGCTTGTCAACTCTTGACCCAATAAGTCCATAAATTAATTTCAATTCCACTAAATGAAAATAACTGCACTCAAAATACATAAATAAAGAAGCCACTGAAAATACTAAATATTGCAAATCAGCCCATCCATGTTAATTAGTTGTTTGGATAATAAATACCACCATCGATTCAATATCCCAATTAATCCATATTTTGGCCACTTGGTTTTAACCAGTTTGCTCACATAAAGTTTATTTGAGAAAATAATATATTTAATAAATAAATAAATAATTTATTAAATATAACTGGCCAGTTTTATGTGATCAAACAAGCCAAACCAAAATATAATACCATATGGATTTCATCCTCAGAAGTATGTTCCAAAGCCCATAATCAACAATTACACAAAATACAAGGTATATTGAACTTGTAAAAGATCTCACCCATTGTAAATTAATGTAACCAAGACAATGAACCAAAATTCATAAACCTCTCATAATTAAGAGTTAATTTGCTTTAGTAAGGTAAATTACTTATGATGGTTTAAGTAATTTTCTACTTATCCTGATCCAGTTCAATGCAATACACACTAACACGTGTGGTCTTGAGTCTTACACTCAAATAACCGAGAAAGCCCATTTTATCATATAGAAACCAGCTTGTTATATTTATTCAAATAATATTAGGAATAATATCAATAGAATGCCCAATTCTATTAATGAATGTTTATAATTATGAATACTGATGATTAATATCTCCTATACAAGGGACTCCTCCCTATGTACATAAATCATCCAATCACAAATAATAATAAAAACTCAGATTTTATTAAAACTAAATGTCAATTGTAATCCACACTTGGCTTTGTACCGCACCCATTCCCAACATCACATGATTTGCAACATGAAAACAAATCATGCAACACAATAGCTAATCGAAAACCTCACAAGTGACAGCCAAAAAATCTTTTTAGTTTATGCTTTTATTCTCCAAAAACTTCCCAAGGTCCTTTTAAGAACTTTAAGGTTAAAATATACCATCCATGACTCTCTTCCCTCTTCAACACTCTTATCTGAATACACAAAAGAATTTATGATCTCTCTCTATAAAACTCTAATTCAGAAATCTTTTCTTCCACATATTCCTACTTTGCCAAGGGAAACCTTTTTAATCCAACATTTTATACCTGAACGTGAATTTTGTGCTTTGACCTTTGAGATGAGCATTTAACATAGTTTGCACATTTTTCATTTTTTATTATAAATGGTTGATGAGTGAAAAGACAACTAATGATCCCACATGAGATCACTCTAATTCTATCAATTATTGTAATAATGGGAATACTAAAATGTATTCAAAGTGCATCTATTGTCATAATATATATTTTGGTGGTTTTAGCTGAATGAAATTTTTGGAGCTCATGAAAATCTTTTAAAACTGTGTACAAGTTTCTATAGTCATTTGGATTTTTTTTTTGTTAGGGTTTTTTTTTTTTTTTTTTTTTTGGGGGGGTAATAAAAGAAGAATGAAACAAAAGAACAATGCATTTAAACATTGATTGGGGTATTGAACTTATTGGTGCCTAGGAAATAAAGATATAAATAATACAAAGAGAGAGAGAAATTTAAAAAGGTTAAACAAAAACCTTTGAAAGAGATTTAAACATTGATTGGGTTATTGAACTTATTGGTGCCTAGGAAATAAAGATATAAATAATACAAAGAGAGAGAGAAATTTTAAAAGGTTAAACAAAAACCTTTGAAAGAGATAGTTAAGAAATGGGAATTCTCTATTCAAAATATTTGTATTCCATAATTATGCTTTGGTTTTAAATTTGTTAAAAATGCATATGCCGGTGTCGATAATGAAATTGGTTGATGAGTGCGGACAGGGCAAAAGAATTCCTTCTTATCATGAGGGGGGGAAAAGTTAAAAGTAAATAAATACAAAAAACTGATAAATAAATAAATAAATATCGAATAGGATAGGACAAATATGGTGAGCACCTTACCTATTATCTGAAGCTACCGTCATTATTACTAGATCATACATTTTCATATATATTTTTTGTTTCTATATGTATACCTATATCCTATTATTATCCATCTACTTTCGAAGTTGTCAATGCATCTGACAGTTTACGATTCTAAATAACTGGATACCCATTCATTATAAGAATTCAAATTTACAACTATGATATAAAAAAGATGATAACATATTACAAATAATATGTTGCATAAATATTAAAGACAAGTAAATTTCAGAACGTTAGCAACCATATTTTTTATTTTAAAAAAAAAAAAATTGAACCATTGAAAACATTTAGATTTCAGGTTTTTGTCATTTCTGATTTTCATTAGCTAATGCGAGGGAATGTACTGCCATAAACCTAAAGAATATCTTTACAGCACTTTAGTTTTCAATTTCTATTATCATGGCATGAAACTTGGACATTTAATTTGTCATTTAAATGTATATAACATCTTGTGAACAGAATCATATCCAGTTTTTGATGCTTCTGCTTATTATTTTCAATTTTTCTTAATTCAGATCTATGAATTAAATGTTATCTTTCTATACATGAAATGTTCTGATGTGATACACAATAATATAAATCTAGAACTCCAAATGTGATATGATTTGCAATTTGACAACCATGGTCAAAAGATATTAGTAATATAAAAAATATCTGCATTCATCAAATTAAAAATGAACATGTAATGAAACGTTAGACCCACATGTGAAGAGACATTGATGATGTGCATTCAGATGAAAAGGAAAAGGCTAAAAAGATCCTACAAGGAAGCACACCAATTACTTTTTCACTACAGAAATAGTAGATCATCGAAACTCACTTTAAATAGAAGAAACATCATTTTGACTGCCGCCATGAATCAAAATGCTCCACATATAGAATTGCACTACTTAAGCAAAAAATGGCCAAAAATGAAAAAACTTTAAGCAAGTTCAGCAATGTATATCCTCAAATTTTATTTGTTAATGACAGCAATTATGGGACAACAGCACTCAACAAAATAGCATTTTGCCAATATTAATGAAATGGGAAAGACTTTGCTTCAGGAGGTGGAGGTGAAGATGGTCAAATCGGGCTATGTCAAAATGATAACCTAGTTTTGGTTCAACTAAAGGAAATAGAAAAACTTCTATAGCCACAATTTCAAAAAAATAGGATTATCACGACCATGTTAGTACCTCAAAGGACAGCCAGAAATGAAAAACCTCCATTCAAATAGTGCAGATTCATGAGATAGTGACTAGGAAAAGTATCGCTTTTGGAAAGAAGTTCTTTTACCTAAAAATTTGACTTTGTTGAACCAAAAGATCAGGAAATGTAACTAAATATCCTTCCATACCATTTTTGGTTGCCTAGGATCTGGAGAAAACTAATACTTTATTGTTCAATTGGTAGCCGAGAAATAAAGTATCAGTTCAACCAGGCTTCGAACAACCATTTGCTTAAGTTGAGTTATCATTTTTTCCCTTTTGGTCCTTACAAAAGTAAGAAATAGTAAATGACAGATCTAAATTTCTTATCCATTTCTTTTCTTCAGTTTTCTTTGCATACAGCGAAGATTCAATATGAATTAAAATTCTATAGGAAACAAAATATAGTAAAGCATGATTGATTGAGGTAAACAATAATTTATCAGAATACTCAAGCATTGCATATATATATATATATATATATATATATATAAGAATTAACCATACCCGGGTTTAGATGCTATTGAAGCTCCCGAACTATCTGTTTTTGTCTGCAAAACACAAGCAATATCATATTTAAATCCAAACAAACCGCCATTTCATGTTTAACTAGAAATATAATATATATATAGAGAGAGAGAGAACTGCAACTGCATTGGTAATCAACTGTTCAGCTCTGCGACCTCTTGAATTCAAACAAAGGTTAATCCTCCCAACAGATGTAACCACAAAAAAACTATCTTTACTTCCTGAAACAAAGAAACACAATTATTAAATAGTCGAACAATTAAAACCAAACATATAATTTTCCAAATTTCACACGACCCATCACAAATTTCATTGAATACATATTAAATGACGTCACAATTGAAGCAGGTGAGAGACTTAACACACTGAACCTGAGGACAATCTGCGAGATATGAAGCGAAATCTCTTGGAATCGAACGAATTGGTGGATGAGAGAGCTGTCGAAGCTCCGATTCCTTGAAAAATCGCAGCCATTCAATTCAGATAAAAGCTATAATTTCCAGAGTCGACAAAATATCGAGAAAGCTGAAGAAAATGAAGGAAGAAATAATAATTCACTTGAAACGGAGAGGGTGAGTGATTTTAGAGAGAGAAAGTGGCGTGGCGGGGAGGCGTAAATACCTCGCTTCCATCGCCTACTCTGGTATAATCACTTTGCAAACAGAACCATTATGACACCAAAGTAGGCCTGGCCACGTATATCATTGAGGGACGAGAGTGACATTTTACAATTTCTCTAGTGGTATTGAATGACAAAACTATCCTTATATTGTCTATAAAATTACATTTTACGTAGTTTGTGGTCCATAGCTCTTTGTAGGTGGACCCACCCTGTCCTCAACGGATAAACCTAAACAAACAGCTCGTCAATGCCTTGAGGGACAAATCTAGTGCATCAGACTTCACCTGTGTCCCTGGTGACATAGAATTGTATGAGATAGGATGGTTTTGATTCTTTTGAACAATATAATACATACATATATATGTAATAGGATATTATTAGAAATTGAGTGTGGTATTTTTATGATTTTTACAAAAATATAGAGACGTTTTTAAGATTCTTACAAATTTTTAAGTAATTTTTAAAAATAAAAAATAAAAAAATTCAATGGAGGCAACTCCGCTGAATCCTTAATAGGTTCGTTTGTACTATCCTCGTATCAGAATGACCTCTCAATTGACCATGGGTATGGTATTGTGCACCAAAATAACGTTGTTTTGGTCCATAGCACGTAATCAAAGAATGTCGTGCGGAGATTCTACACTATCCCGTGTCGTGGTCCATACTCCAAAAACCAAGGGCGGATCCAAGGGCCCACCCCAAAAAAAAAAAAATTATACTTTAAGCGTAGCCCAAAAAAAAAAAAAAAAAATAGTAATGGTAGCCCAGTCCAAAATTAGTCCAGTCCAAAATTAACCCAACCCATTTAGAAAGGCTGGATCCGCCTTTGCCAAAAACGACACCATTTGATGTACAACACAGTGCACGAGACCCTTCCAAAATAAGAGGAGATTCACTTCCTTTTAACTTCAGCAGTGAATCATTCAGTGCACAAGGGAGAATTTTGAAAATGTTGATCGGGTGGCAAAGACTCATTCTACCAATATATTGTGTTTTTGTTTTTTCCTCCTTCTCTTTGTTGGCAAAATAAATAAAAAAAGCATTTGTGTTTCTCTTTTCAGCCTTAATTATTAATCTTTGATGTTGTTTTATATATTCATGCTATTTCCATTGCATAACAGTTCAGAATGAGCATCTGTATGGAAACCCTTTTTCAATGGCTCTTTACATGGTTCAACCATGTCATTTTCTACGGTACAATTTATCAATATTCAAATGAATCCACTGTTTTTTGCAAGAAAATTGACCATCTTTTATGCCACAAAATTGACTTGAATGTAGAGTGTTCTAACCTATATTTATTAGGCCAGGCCTGGGCTTTGTGCTGATTTTTCAGGCTGGATTGGGCCCGACTTGGAGAAATGTATGGGAACATACATAGTGGGCCAGGCTGATTCATAAAGATAAGGCACAAATCAAATCATCATTTTAATCATATGGTCTTGCCCAAAAGACAAAACAAAAACATGTTTCAAAATACATTTAAATAAAATCGTACGAGCTAGTAATTAGATTGGCTTTGCACCTGTAATTTTATATATATAAAAGCTTATATTATATAATATTGCAATCTGTTGTTGTACGTTGTTGTTGAGAATTCAAAAGCTAGGCACAGAGTCATGAAAAGGCTATTATTATATGAGATATACTTAGATGGGATTTACGCCATTCTGACTATTGATTTAGACCAATAACATATAAACATGTCATATTTAATTAGTAAATAAAAAATAATAGGATATATATTCACATATCGAATTAGATATGATGATTAATTATCAAATCTAATATGACAATTAAAAGAGGACGTACTAATGTGTTATTAGTTCACATCACCGATCAAAATAATATAAATTCTTATCAGTGAAGATCTGAGTATAGTCTTTACGGTATATATATATATATATATATATATATATATGCTGCCAACTGACCACTTTGTACACTTTCAAAAACAGGATGCGATAAGGTCTGGTTGCATTCTGTACCACTTCTAGTACGGTTTACACAGCGAGCCAGTTTTCCTACAGTTTGGTTAGTCGGCCTTATGGAAATCACCGATCACGTGGCATACGGAAATTTTGGGCACGTGGCTTAATGGAAGAGAGAACGAGTTGGGGTATTGCTGAACCACAAAGGTAATAGCTTAAAAATTGTAGGCCACCGATTTAATTGACATCTCAACAGCCGCCAAATCTCCTCCTTTTTCCTCCGGATCTGGTGTATCGGAAGGGATTTTGGCCTTACAAGCCACTTGACTTGTTTGGTTCCATGGAAAAATATTAGAATTCCTTCTTAAATATGTTCACAAATTGAATAAAATTGAGCCATGCATGGTCAATTCAGAGACGTCAAGCAATAATAATTAAAAATTTAAATAAATTTGATATATATATATAAAAGTCGGATTTATGTAATTATAATTACAAATAGGCTTTAGTTAATTATAATTACAAATCAGATCAAGAATATGAATTGAATATGTCTATGTTTTTATACACAGTCACATTCTCATATTTACGAGTAAGGCAAAACTTTGTTTAGGTATGGTTAATTTTCTTGAAAAATGATATCATGTTTAACTATAATAATTTTTTTGTTAGGTATTTCAAAATTTCAAAATGACAATTTTTCACAGAAATTGCGAATCATTTTATTTGAAGGATGAAGATAGGGTCACGTGCAACTCAAACTCACTTCGATTTAAATTATGAATTGTGCAATTATGTAACCTTACCTCTATCACCCTCTTCCTCTTCACGGGTATACTCTAATACACCTTTTTTCTTTTTTTCTTTCGGATTTAGTTAATTATAATTACAAGTCGGATTATATTCATATCTCTTGACTTTTTACACAGTCACATTCTCATATTTACAAGTAGGGCAAAACTTTGCTTCTATTTGGTTAATTTTCTTCAGAATTAGTATCATGTTTAAGAATTTTTGTTACGTATTTAAAAACTTAAAAATGATAAAGTCTCACAGAAATTTTGAGTCATTTCATCTAAAGTATTAAGGTAGGTTTAAATTAGAATTACACATAACTCAAACTCACATCGATTTAAGATAAATAATTGTGTACTCAAACTCACATCAATTTAAGATAAAAAATTGTGTAATTATGTGACCTTACGTCTCTCACCCTCTTCACGGGATACTCCAATAGGTATACCTCTCTTTTTTTTTCCTTTTTTTTTTTTTTTTGTCAGACAAATAACTCATATAATGCTTATAGAAGGTTCAAACTCTCTTTCTTTCACTTTTAAAAAATAGAAGATATACTTAAATTACAGATCTTAATATACACTAATATATATATAATTTTTTATATATATAATTTAGTACACAAGACTTTCGTCGTTAGATAGTCTAAAGCCGACCAAATTAATGTATATAATAGTCTTCTCACTGCCTCTTGCTCTTCAAGAACCAAAAGTGCCTGCCAGATCAGACAATCCACCTCTACCTTATAATAAAGCATTAAAAAAATTGGCCGACTTTCAATAACGCTCAAAGAAAGCGGCTGAAGTACTTTAGTTGAACATATGGGATTGGATAAATTAAGGCAGTAAAAAACAAATTTGATTGAAAAAAGGTTGTTGTCGAGAATGAGAAGGACCGATACCACGAAGAAATTAACATTCATATCTGCTTTTAATATTTTAGTATATTTTTGTATCCGCAGGTGAAGTAATAATAAAAGATACTTTCACAGCCTTTCAAAAATAAATAAATAACTACATTTGTAGTTTTATACAGAAAAAAAATTATAATGAATTATTTCACTATATATATTACTGAATTATTACGTTACTCTATGTTGAGATAGAAATATGATTATGGACCAACCAGAAAGTACCGATACTTCATTTTGGGTGGTGTATGTTGGACACTTGAACTTAAACTGCGTCAAACATTAGAACACAGTTTAGACACGTGTCGGACACGGTTAAAAGTGACCTTAAATTTGAACATTTTATTTATTTTTTTGGACACAACTAGTACACAACTAAGGCACGGCATGAATGTGTCAATAACTTTCAAAAATGCGGATTGATTTTGTAGTAATTTTCTTTAGATAAATGGAAATCAATGCAATTTAAAAGGTATTATGAGTTAATTAATATATATATATATATATATATATATATATATATAATTTAGGATAAAAATAATAATAAACATCTATCTAGTAGCTTTAAATTAGTGATTTCATTCATGATGGTATAAATAAAATGAATAAAAATTATATATTTTAATATAATGATATATAATATTTTTTTTTTAACCAACGGTTCAGTGGCGTATTAATGTCGTATATGTGTTCTAATTATTATTTTTTTTTTATGGCCGTGTTTGTATCTAATTATTATTTTTTTTTCTATGGCTGTATTTGTATCGTGTCATACGTACTGATGTCCCGTGTCTATATTCGTACTTTCTAGCGGACCAATGGATTTAAATCTCCTCCTATTGAGGAGATCATACGATCTTATCTTGTACCTCAAAATTACAACATTTTGAGGCACAACTCTCCATTATCATATAATATATTATACATATATATAATAAAATCAAGTAGGAAATAATAGGAAAATGAATATAATATATATATATATATAATATTCGTTTTTAATAATTATAGCATTCCAAAAAATAAAAAATTTACCATTATTATATTTATTCGCTTTATCCGCAAGGGGCGCAATTTTTTTTAATGTGGCTATTTTAAAATTTCAATTCAAATATCGTTCTTTCTATAATGTGATTATCTCCTAAAATTCCATCTCATACATGATTCTTTCCATCACTTTTTTTTTTCTTTTTATTTATTTTTATTGGAATGCTTTTATAAGAATTCTATAAGAAATTAATTTTTACAAAATCAATGATTTAAGAATCTAAATTCTTATTTTATTAATTTGTTTGCGTTTTTTTTTTTTTTTCTTGCAAATAAAGAGAGTTATTTAATTGAGTTTTTTTTTATAATTTTGGCATAAATCTTGTTTGTGTTTGTTTAGAAAGTTTGGTGAATTTTTTTTTAAATAACTAGTTTTTTATTTAAATAAATTAGGAAAAGTTTAGATAGATATATTTTTGTATGAATATAATAAGTAGTAAAAAAAATTTGCCTACATAATATATATATATATATATATATATATATATATATATATATATATATTTTCAAAAGTTTTAGCTAGGTTGTTGTTTATAATTTTAGCCCCCAATCTCAAGATTCTGGCTCCGCCCCAGTTTGTCACTCTATTTTCTCCACCTCTACACATTCACCCATTCCCTCTCAACCTCCTACCACCACCCCCTTTCTCCACCAACCAACCACCATATTTATAGACACATATACTTGATAAGGCTGTGCACATAAACTCATAAATCCACCCAAATACAATCGTGAATCAAAATATATATATAATATAATATAATCACATATTGTTCATTTGAAATTTCTTTAACTTTTTTTAATTAATTTTGATCATGTTGATTTATTTCGGCGGTCTAGACAAGCAATTCAAAAAATTATAAAATATTAGTTTTCCAGAAGCTTGAAAATTATCCCGTTATATTACATTCCAAAAACAGAAGTACAAATAAAAGAAAAATCAAGTTGAATTGAATGGGTCAGTTGAAGTAAAACCCACGTTATAGAGAGATATTTGCAAGCTGTAGCCGTCTCAATCACGTGTATGAATCCAAAAACAGAAAGTAGTATAGGTGGCGGTTTTTGTGGTTGCGTAGGAAAACCGTGTTCCACGTGCTTTTAGTGTCACACCGTCGATTTTCGTGTGGGTTCCCTTTTTGTGCGTTTCGTGTTTTAAAAGGTAATTTAAAAAACGTTGCACAGTAGTTAATGTATGACTCACGAGACCCCAACCACACCCACCATTTATATACGACTAAGAACATTGAACACATAATTATTTGTATATAAATATACAAACCTATTTGTATGCTCTCTTCGGTTTAATTTCTCCTATTAAACTTCAAATCTTCGCAACAAATCAATCTCATCTCATCTCTCCAATATGAATTGTAATCTAGAGCTCCGTCTTCTACCGCCTTCTGCTCCTTCGTGTTCCACAGATTGCAACGACGACCACCATCAATCCATGTAAGTCTCTCTCTCTACACACACAAACCCATATATATATATATATATATGTATATATTGTACGGTGTATGTATTTATATGATACTGATTTTGTTCTCCTTTGTGTTAATTAAGGCGCGAGATATTCAGTGCAAGCCCAAAAGAGAAAGAGATGCAACAGATAACCATTTTCTATAACGGAAGGGTCACCTCTTGTGATGTTACAGAGCTTCAGGTATGCAAAATTCATGCACTTCCGCATCACTATATCATTTATAACCTATTTTATGTATTGATTAATGGTTGGTAAATGTCTCGTCGATTTAAAAGTGCATTTAGAAAGACTTGTCGGCAGTCAAACTTACAATTTATATTATAATTTACATATTTCTATATTCTGGGCTCTAATTACATGGAATTTTTATGGGTTATTGAATGTAAATCTATACATTTTGATTTCAAAAATATGTTTCTGCCATTTACAAAATTACCCACTATTTTCCGACAAAGTTTAAAAGTTCATTTGTGAATGTGATCTAGTTTTTTTAATGCTTCTATATAAAATTTGGAATTTATAAATGAATATTAGCATTTCAGGAAAAGAAAAAAAAAAAAAAAATTAATATCTTTTCTAACCTTAATCCGATATTCATTCTAGATATTAAATTCTCATTTCAATTGTATAAATAAAATGAATAAAATTTAATATATTTTTATTTTTGAGTAAATTATTATTAATAAATTTGTTCATGTGTGTATTACAGGCCAGAGCTATCATACAGCATGCAAGACGAGAAATGGAGGGAGAGTTGAAAACACCAACCGGTTCAGAGCCGTCTTCACCATTGTTACAATCTCAATTGCACAGCCCAGCTGGTCTTTCCATGAAGAGATCTCTGCAGAGGTTCCTCCAGAAGCGAAAGTGTCGGAGCCAAGCAATGTCGCCTTACAGCCGTTAGATTTGTATTCCAATTTGAAATTTTAATTATTCATTAGTTTGAAGAGAAAAAAAGTGAGGGGATTTTGTAGAGTTTCTTGGAATTAAATCCTTCGTGAGAAAATGAGAGGTTGCAGGGCATGTAAAATTTATATTATTAAAGCAACAAATTTTAGTTATTTAATTTGATTAATTTATTATTGTTTCCCGGGGCATATAATGAGAATGGGCAGATTTGATGTTTGTGTTTTATTTTTATTAGTTTTAATATTTATAACATTTTTATTAGATGACATTGTTAAGTAAATCTTAATCACAGTTGGCTCGCTCCCAACTCCAGTGCGCAATGAGGATCTCCCAATATTGTTTGTGGACTCAAGTCCACTCCAATTTTTTTTTTTTATTTTATTTATTATAAGTAATTTTAGCCTAGTCTTAAAATATATATATTATTAGTATTAGCTGCTCAAAAAAATATTGGCCCCACCCCATTAACAATTCTTAGAATCCACACACGTATTCTTTGTACTTGTTTTCTTTCATTTTTTTATTCTGACAAATGACACATTCAGTCACTTTAAGTGAGAAAGTATCACTAAGTTCTAATATTGATTAGTTTCACTAAATTTTCATGTGCCATATACAGCTTTGAGTGAATAGAATGAATTTCACATCATACTAATTCAAATGCATGCTAAATAATAATGCCATGGGCACTTAAAATCTTTGGTTTTTTTTATTCTAGCAAATGACACATTCAGTCACTTAGAAAGTATCACTAAGTTCTAGCCTTTAATAAGATATTGATTAATTTCACTAAATTTTCATGTGCCATATGCAGCTTTGAGTGAATAGAATGAATTTCGCATCATACTAATTCAAATGCATGCTGAATAATAATGCCATGGACACTTAAAATTTGAAATTGAAATAAATTTAGCTCAAAGTTCTAACTTATAGCATTAAATCTTAGGATTGATTTCTTATGTATAAAGAATTATTTAAGACATGGTCCGAGCTTTAGGCATCTTGCACGGTCCTGTAAATAAGTCGGGACGAATATCCCAATAAAAAAAAATAAAAAAACTGAACTAACTAAATTTTTTATAATTTCAAATCCACATATTCCATTCAATACTCTCACGTACAACAAATGGTAGAAAAAGGGTGGTAGTGCTAACATGTGATGTATGGTTTAATACTTTAATGGAAAGTTTGCATGTGATTCTCACGTGATGATGATTATTAGTTGTTGATGGGCTTGTCCACATGCATGTGACAGGAAACCGAGAGAGGGGTTGGTGGAACCGTGTATGTAATCCGCCATCCTACACAGCGTCTCTCTGTCTACCCTACACCACAAGAAAGTCCATTTGAAATTACATTTTAACTACTTAAAAACATTTTTATTTATTTACTTTTTTAAAATAATTGTGTTTAAATATATTTGATAACTGTTAAAAACATCAACTTTAACTTAGTAGAGCTTTTAATGGAACTAAAATTTGTTTTGGGCAGAGGTTTCATATATTTCACCTAATGCTTTTTATTAGACGATTTTTTCACTTAATATTTTTTATAAACACAATTTTTTCTTTTCTTTAATAAAGTCATGTTATTATCAAATATAATAACACTATATAAATGAATAAGTAATAAAAGTTTTTTTATTATTTATTTTATTTTTATAACAAGAATGTTAGGGGTTAGATGTTAGAAGGGAGGAAGAGAGTGCAAGTCTCAGAAATGGGCGCTCAGAAGAGCAACTTAACAACTCAGGCAACATGACACTTAATAATAATAAAAGCATTTTAAACAATATTATTACCAAACAAATTTTAAAATACTTTAATTATAAAAAATACTTTATATAATAAATCACCAAAAACCTAACATACTTTTTAAACCTAACATACTTTTTAATAATAGTAATTATAAATTTTTTTTTTATTTTTTTTTTTAGTGATTTATTCAATAATTGAATTAAATAGGGCTTTTAACTCAACGGTGTGCAATGTCGGCAGAATTATAATTATTCTGAAAAGAGGAGCTGCATGCACACCAGCCTAAAGTAAGCCCAATCACAATCCAAGCCAACTTCTACTAAATTTCAATACCAATTTCCATTACATTTCCTGCCTATTTCCAGCAAGAGTTGTTGTTGGTCAAATTCAGCCATTTGTCTTCACTATTTTTTTGGTAATTATCCGCCAATTTCTAACAACTTTACAGCAAAATTCTGCCGACATTTTATGCCTTTTTCCTTGACAGCCAATCGTCTTAAAAAAATTTGGACACCTAAGCCCTTGATTGTGAGGGTACACAATTGTCTCTTTCAGTTGCAATGTGGTCCTTTTTAAAGTTAGCAAATTAGGTTCCATTCGATTTGTCGACCAAAAAAAAATTTATCCAATTCTACACCAAATTAATGTTTTTTTACATTATATATAAAGGTTGGAGAAGCATTGGAAGGTGTCATTTTCTCAAAGTTATGTGCTCTCCAGGTACATCGAGCGTTTTAAGTCATTAGCATATCCAACTAATAAAAATACAATATTTTATAAAAATGATCCTACCTATTTTTTAAAACTACTCTCAACTAACGACAATGATGATTTTCGTGGGTAGGGCATACCAAGTGGTATGCCTGTCTGGCGTACCCAATATCTACTCCAGGGCTAGTTCTGGAAATTAGCTGCACTTCATGTGCCTGATCTAATACATTTCATATCAAGAATTGTAGGTGGCCCTATTTAACCAATTCCAGTATTTTAGCCGAAATTAGAGGGCTTCTTCAAGCTCAGACTCTCATCTTGTGAAATGAGGGATGACTGCAGTCATACCATGCACACATGGATTTTTGGCTCTGGAAATCAGCAGTATGGAGTTGTAAGCATGTCTGGATCAAATACTGATACGCCTGCATTTAGGGTTTTTGGTTTCAATCAGCGCACAACCACAACCGAGTTCATCAAATTACCACTCTTCCTGTTCAAACTTTAGATCAAAATATATAACCATCCCACTCTTTCTCCAAACTGTAGATCAAAATATATAACCATGAACTATCCCATTATGGATGTCAAGCTTGAACTACCCAAAAACTGTGTCGTTGATCCGAAGAATCACTGAACATTGGTAACATTTAAGCCCAGTAGGGCAGTTCCCCAAACAAAAAAAATTCGACATTACACAGCTTCGAAGACCAGAAGAAACAGAGAAGATCAAAAGACTATATATATATATATATATATATATATATATTAGATCATACTACAAATTTACAAACATTACTCCCCGGTAGTTGCACTGATTATTTTCCACCTGCTTTGCTAAAACCATACCAGGCATTATGAGGGCAATTTGATGTAATGCATGTCATAAATGCATTTTATCTGAAAGCCAGTATCTTCAGCAGAACTTAAGAGGAAAATTAAGACTAGAAAAATATTCTGCTTCAAAGAAAGTCACATACATCAAATCCTCTCTTTTTTTTCTCCCTCCCTTTTGGTACATAATATACATCAAAACTAATGGTAATTATTTATGGAAATATTATTTATTTCTTCTAAATATTTCTGAATTCTTGAAACTGAGATAAATTATTCTAATATCAGAAAAACCCTTGAAACTCAAACCTTTCATTATATCATTGCAGATTTAGGGGGGAGGCCATCCTATAACCTGGGCGCAATGCGAAGAGAGTCCCATGGAGTCAGAATGTGGTCGCGGGTAATCTCCTTGAGCGAGCGGCAACCGCTTAAAGCCATAGTTAGCTCAAACTCATCACGGAGCATTTGAAGTACTTTTCTTACACCAGCTTCGCCATCGGCAGCCAATGAAAACAACACTGGCCTTCCGATCTGAAATTGCATGGGATCAAATAGGTGAATTTGCTAAAAAGTTTGATGTCATTTGGATTTGTGAGCAACTTTGACGAAAAATGGCTTGCGATTGGAGTTTTATGGAAAATGTTTGTATGATATACTTTTATGTAGGTTATATCATGCCTCAGAATTTTATTTCAATCTCAAGCAATTGAAATCATGAAAAGATTTCAAGAAAATGGCCACACAACTTTCACTAATTTCCTAGTGAGATAAAAATCTGAAAAATAGGGAAATATAAATCATTTTATGGCCAATTAAAAGTCATTCTTTTGGATTGTCCATCAAGTAGTGTGAAATTCTTTCACTCACAAATATGCCAGAAGCTCCAAGAGCCAATGCTTTGAAGACATCTGTCCCGCGCCGAACCCCACCATCCAGAAAAACCGGGATTCTGCCTTGCACAGCTTTGACGACCTGTAAGTGAATAAAAAATATCAAACAAACACAACATATGGTTTTAGAATATGAAACTTTCATTAAGAATAAAGAAGCCGTAGAGATTAAGGTAGTAATTAGTGAGGAGAGCAGCTTGAGAAATCAAGAAATAAGAATTTGTTGAGAAAATATTGCGGAAATTCAATGAAGAAGTAAGAACAACATCTCAAGAGAAATGTAGGAATAATTTGGAGGAAAAAAAAAATGGGGATCAAATGTGAGCTGAAAAGCGAAACACATTAACAAAAGGGAAGCAGAAAGTCATCAAGATTTATGAATAGATATATAGTAAAGGAAAACCTAGTGCACGAGGCTCCCGCCAATGCACGGTCTGAGGAGGGATAGATGTACGGAGCCTGCCTTACCTTTGTATTAAGAGAGGTTGTTTCCTTGTTTTGAAACCGTGAACTCCAGGTCACAATGGAGCAACCTTACCGTTGCGCCGCCCCATGAGTAGATATATAGTCAAAAAGGAAAACTAACTGAATAATAACTGCAAAGTAAATTACAACTTAAACATGATAATACTTGTTTGGATACGTCTAATGAAAAATACAATGTATAATTCTAGAAAAGAATCACAAATTTTGGAGAATTTCATTGGAGCAAAGCAAGCATAGCAAGCACATATACCTCTTCCAAAGCCATAATAGTTGCAGGGACATAATCAAGTTGGCGAGCTCCATGATTTGACACTATGATTCCTGCTGCTCCAACTTCCACTGCTATCCTCGCTGCAAGATTTGCCGTTGGATTACATGATGAGATCATAAGAAATCTAATAAGTAAGTTCCAAAGAAGGGAGAGAGCGTTTCCCTATGACGGTATATTGCTTACCATCCTCAGCAATTAGAACACCCTTCACTAGAATGGGTAATTGAGTGATTGTCTGAAGCCACTTCACATCCTGTCCAAAGTGCACTGGAGAGGCTATTCAAAAGATAACCTCACCTACATTTCATGAAATCTTTACAGAAATTACCATCCTACCTTCCAGTTAAGAGACCGGTCAATTTGGCCAGCAACATATGAAGCCAATCCAGAGTCGTCAGTCTGTAGGGACAGGAGCACAAACTTATCATGAGCAAAAACATACATAAATGAAAAACCATTAGAGTCCAGTATAAGTCAATCATTTATATCATTCACCCGATCTATCTTGCCAAGATCCAATCCTTCAAAATTCTTTAACGTCAAATGTGGTGGCAAAATAAACCTGTGAGACAACCCATCAAAAGAACCTTCTTAGGACATAGCAAACTATATCTAGGTGAAAACAAACTTGGGATTGTGTTTACACATTACTGGAGAAGAGAAATAACTTATCTAAGTTTCAAGTTCCTATTTTGAAATAAAGTTAAGTTTTTTTTTTGGTTCACCTGTTCTTGATATCAGCTTCCCTCCGGCCGAGTCTTGGAGTATCCACAGTAAGGGCAATTGCCTTAAATCCGGCCCTTTCAGCTCTCTTCACAAGTTGTGCAACCAAATTTCTATCCTTGTACACCTGAATTTGAGCAAAAGGATCATTGGATTTGTAAGTGGTACAAAATGAAAATAAAAAACATATATATAATTACTATTGATATTGTGGCCCAAATTTTGTTTTGGCCGGTTCTAGAATTTTCTTGTAACCTAGTATATAAGGGCATTTAGGATTTGGGATATGTAATGGGTGGAGACGAAAAACCGCAAGAGAGTGAGAGAGAGAGAGCTAGGGTTTGGCGGCTGAAACTTGTAATTTCCTATTTTCTCGTAGTGAAATCTTTCGCCAAATCTTCACCGTGGAAGTAGGCTTTGCCGAACCACATAAATCTTTGTGTTATTTATGTGTGGTGTGTTTACTTTTCTGTCGTAATTCTTGATTGTGTTCTTGGTTCGCGGTGTTTGTCGCAACGAATCACAAACTGTTCGTCACTATTGTTCTTTTTTTTTTCCACCAAGTCTTACAAATACATATACATATATATATATAACTAATTTCATTATACTATCAAGAACAAGATCAACAATACTGACAAACAAGTGAAAATAAAAGATGAACTTCAAACTCACATAGAGTTGGAAAAAGCGAATGCCAGGTCCTGTTGAAGCAACCTCTTCGACACTGGAAGTAGCTGCCGTTGACAGTGTCTGAAATGACCAATCATGCATAAAAGAATGGCAGATACACATATAATTGTAACTACTGTGTTGAATTTCCAACAGTGCCCAAAAGGTTTCTATTGGTTAGCACATGAAAGCCAAATTAATTTTTAAGATTGTAAGATCAGAACAAGTTCAAATCAAAAGAAATAAAGAGGGACAGAAACTAAACCATGATTGTGCCAGCAGCCGATGCTGCTCTTGCCGTTGCATATTCTCCTGCATCAAAACGTTCCATCGCTTCATTCAGTAAGAAGGGCAGGAAAAAGATCAGTGAATGAAATAGCCACGCCTAAGAAAGACAGAATTATTCAAAGTGTGCCCCTGAGTACCAACACCTGAACTACTTGCCCTATATATGACGAGTTGAACAGAGCTTGACTCGGAATAAAGGAAAAGACTTTTTTTTTTTATTCAGCTTCACTTTCCAAGACCTACTTTCCAACTTTATGGGAGTAAGGGCAACAGGCTGGAACCGTTCTATTTCTACAAGTTGACGGACTGAGATAACAAAGTGGACTAAAGGCCAAGAAGAGGAGAGGAAGAGGAAGCTAATAACGCAAAGAACTTTTGATTCCTATGAGCTGCCCTACCTGTACCAATACCCAGAAAGCAAGCTACCTTAGAGTTGGTCCACTTGCTTTATTTGAACAGGTAAGATATACGAAACTAGCAGTTATATTTCTCTTCTCGAGTGTCCCTTTGCTTGGGCTTCTTCCCTTATAGAGGATGACATAGATAGAAACTAGGTTAATAACGAAAAAAGGAGTCAAAGGCCTGCATTGATTCAATAAAGAAGGGTTCTCTTTTCCTCTCTTTTTTTGGCTAGGAAAGCTGGAGTTTGGCATGTACCCCCTACCGGTTCATTAAAAAAGGGTACATAATAGGTCATACATTTATATAAATTTGCATATCCATTTATCAGTCCCTGCATATCATCTCTAATAATGTCATTAAGGGCTAATGGAGGCCTTTTGAGTACTTTAAAACATAACTCGACATCTCGCAATAAAGTCGGCAGCTCTGTTGCTCTTCCTCCAACAATGTGTGACTCTAGTCAACCTCACTACATCAAGACCCTAGGACATGCATAAAACTTGAAAAGACAACTTTAGCAAAGAATTACTTGTTAAGTAAAAAGTCACTACCTAGTGTAGATCCTCATTAATCAAGTCCAATGGGAAGGGGCAGATTGGGAACAGACCAAATCTTTGGCATTATTTGCCCAAAATGGCTGCCCTCATACTTGAACATGCTTTCTTACCTTGGCTGGCTGACTCTAGTAGGCATTTGAAGTCACTTTCCTTGAAAATGAAGGTCACTAGCTTTATGGACGACATTTGGAAGAAAGATTAAAGTCCTCCAACAGTTTTAGCATTTTTATAGCTAGACCTCCAAACAAGACACCAGAATCAGGGCACCAACAAGCATTCTAGTAGTCTGGAAACAATTTCAAGGAAAGTGAATTCAAATGCCTACTAGAGTTAATTCTAACAATCATCTTGGTTCACTTATTTCCTACAATATCTATTCTTTTCTCCAAATATTTACAATTTTTTTATGAGCAGGTTATGTTTTGCAACTGATTACTGCTATTGCAACTGATTACTGCTACCAGTACAACATAGATATTTAATTCCAGAGACTGTTGAAAACTTGGAATTGGTAGCAAGAACAGCTAAAGGAACAACATCGCAGAAGATAGGAAAATGATTTTCAAAGTGAATAGTCAAGCCCAATAGCCTGACCGAATGACTTGTAACTTTCAGATGCATTAAAGTAGGTCTCTAGTAGGACCCACTTTAAGACATCTGATGGTAGCAATAAAGTAGGTCTCCTTAAGATATCTAATGGTAGCAACTAATTAGGTCAGGCTATTCAGCCTGACTATTCACTTTGAATAGCATTGCCCTAGAAGATGAAGCACACTGTTCCAAGGATGCTCTCCTGCAAAAGAATAGTGGGGCGAACTATAGTGCTCAGAAACTCAAAATTCGAGAAAATCCATTTCTCAACCTCTGAGATGGGCCTTCTCAACACAAACTAAAAAGTTGAAGGTACCTGCTTTTTCTACAATCATAAGACACAGGCTATAGAATATCCAAGCAAACTGCAGGATAGATGCTGCTGGCCCTAGTATCCTTTAGGAGTCAATTCTTCCTTAAATTTCATACCAGATGTAACTTTAAACCATTGAAAATATAGGGCTATACATTGTAAATATTGGGGATACATCTTCATTTATGCATCTAAAGAAATATGTATGTATACATGCCTATATACACCTACATACATTTATATAAATACATACGTATTACTATATACACCAACAGAAGTGTATATACATACATATGTATATGTATACAGTATACTCTAAATTCTGATAGGTCAATCAGTTGTTAAATAAACGATCGCTTTAATTCTGTAAGGATCATTAGAAAAAGAGGGCTTTTGTGGATGCCATACAGCCTATTCAGGGGCACCTCATCATCACTAATATTTCAAGAAATCGGACCTCAAACTCAAACGGAACTTTTAAAATAAAAAATGTTGCTATGTTCCTTTACCAACACCAATGTTGATTCAAAACCATCAATTTCTTTTAATTTAGAAAGTTCCTTTTAAACTTTTCTGGTTATGAATCTGTTGTCACTTGTCACTAATCAAACTTTGCTTATAGAATTTAAACCCTAAAAGGACAAGATGAAGGAAACAGGGGATGTACCTTCAGGGTGAGCCAGTTTCTGCATACCGGTAGGAGCAATCATGATGGGCATTGAAATCTTGAAGCCCAAAACAGTCGTGTTCATGTCTATCTTGCTCACATCAATAAGAGTACGAGGTCGGAACCTAAATGCAAATAAAAAATCAAACCAGAAATTAAAGATTAAAATTTGTATATGATCTACAACAGAAAAAAAAAAAAAAAAGCATAGAAAATCCTCACACAATTTATTCCTCATTTTATAAATAGTAAAGCAATCACATAAACCACCAAACCCAAAAATAAAAAATAAAATATAGATATAGACCAACTATTTCATGAGTGGATAGTAAATATCAGGGATAAGAGCTTACAAAATCCTTGAAAACGCGTTTCGGTTCTCTTGGAGAGTCCACTTGTCCTCTGCTCCTGATGCAAAAAAATCATAAACCATCTTTGGCAATTTATCCTTTGCAATAGCCTCATACTCCACAACATTGGTGATCTCCATCTTTCCAATGGAATATTTTATTTATGTTATACCAGGATAATTCTGAAATAAAGTATACAAGTGATGAAACTGGAACTCAAGTTCATGTCAAATTATCCTGTGAAGGTGGGGATGGTGGTGGAATCGGTGGTGGATCACGCCGGAATACACATAGTGGTGGTTGTGGGGGTGGAGATGGTGGGGGTGGTTTCGAGGCGAGGATGAGGAGGGTGATGGTGATCGTGATGGTGATGGTGGCGCCGGGATACACAATCAAAGACGGACCAAAGAGAGACTACTTGCACCCACTGGATTTTTAGAAAATTTCATTTTTACCTATAAAATCTTGAATAATGTTATAAACATCCCCATAACTTTTATTTTTGGCCCATCATTTTTTTTCTTTTCCCACTCGCAATTATATTGCGCATGAACTTTAGCCAATAACTCCATCATCTCTGATGGTCCATCTCTTCCTTCATTATTTTTAAAGTGTAAAAAAAACCTACTCATCTTCACTCTCTCTCTCACAGGAAATTCCCTGAATTTTTAATTTTTAAGTCAAACCCCTGAACTATCGCGATTTTTGCAAAAATACCCCAACTGTTAATGTTCCGTCAGTTTGTCCACCTGAAATTGGTTTGTGACGTAAGCAAAAATTCAAAATGGCGAAGATACCCTTACTACAATAAGGTTAATAAATGAATTTTTAACCCCAAATCAAGGGACAGAGACGATGCACTGCCTCTCGCTGAACACCACCTCCTTCTCCTCAGCCAATCTCACCTCGCCATGTCCATTCTCCAGCGACACACTCCGCCGCAGTAAGGGTATCTTTTCAAGAAAAAAATCAACTCCATTCTCTATAATCGATTCGTTTTCAGTTGTTGTGATCTGCAATCGATTTACATATATATATATATATATATATAAACATATATAAGACTATTCGAATTTGTGAGAAAATCAATTATTTAACTACTGGACTCTGACTCTCTCATTCATCAACCTCATCGTATTTTCCATCTTCCTTGTTCTTCCTCTATACCGTTAATGGAGAAAGACACGCACTGTAATACCCCTAATTTTAAAATGATAGTCTCGGTATTTATTTGTTTGTTTTAATTATATTTTTTTAATTATTTAATTAATTATTTGACTAATTACTTATGTGTTTAATTGAATTAGGTATTACTTGATTATTTGATTATGTGTCTATGTATTATTTGTATTTGTCTGTGTGTTAATTATTTAATTAGATTATGTGCTTAAATGGTGTTTTGATAAATTGTAAATTAAATGTTTTCTTTTCTTTTATTATTTTATTTTATTTTTCTTTTATGGTTATGGTTAGTAGTAATGGGTCAACCAATTGAGTCCTATGGACTACTTGGATATGAGGTTGGATGTGTATGGATTATTACCCATGGATAATGTATGTATATATATAGATATATATTATATACATATAAAAAGGAAAGTAATTTATTAATTATTTTTATGGTAACTTGGGTAGTAATATTTAATCTGATGTATATGTTTTATATTTAAATAATAAAAATATACATAGATTTGATACGTGTTATATTTTAAGTTACTTTATAATATTATGGTAACTTAAGTATTATTGGATAATCCATTAATAAATAATGGAATGTGTATAATATATTTATTTAATAAACATATACATAAATTATATACATAACATATTTTATTTACCTTTTTAATATATATATAAAAGAGAAAGTAATTTATTAATTACTTTTATGGTAATTTTGGTAGTAATATTTAATCTGATGTATATATTTATTTAAATAATAAAAATATACAAAGATTTGATACGTGTTATGTTTTAAGTTACTTTATAATATTATGGTAACTTAATTATTATTGGATAATCCATTAATAAATAATGGAATGTGTATAATTTATTTATTTAATAAACATATACATAAATTATATACGTAACATATTTTGCTTACCTTTTTAATATTTTTATTTTCATTTTTTTTAGTTGACTTGGATTGGGAAAATGGTTAGGGTTATTTTATTTAGCCTATAAATATATAACTATATGTTGTAAAAGGGGGTTAGAAATATTCACGTGATATATACTAGAGAAATAGTGTTAGAGAGGGAAGGAGGAAAAAGAAGGAATGAGGAGAAAAAATCCTGTAGAGAGAAGATCAATGAAGAAGAAATTTAACTTTCGATCCGAAAGTTTAAGGCAAGTTCTTCTTCTATCTCTTTCCCTTTGATTCGTGTTTCTGTACATGCCTAGGAAATTTCAGAATTTATTAAACACATAAAATTAAATAATTATGCACGTTTAATTGGGTTAGAACATAGGTTTTATGAAATTGGTTCATATCTGTTCTTGTGTTATGAATTGATAAAATGCATGATTTTGATTTGATTTCTTATGTGAATTTTTACATGTTTAAATTATGTATTTTTCATATCTGTAGAATGATGGAACGTAGAAACATGCGTAAGATTCATGAACATTAAATAGGGATTAGGTTTGGGTTTTAATAAATTTAAATAGACTCAATCATAATGATGCTTGTTATTTGAATGTTTTAAACAAACGAATGGATTTAATCTTTTAAAATATTTTAGCAATTGAGATTAAATGTGTAGGATGAATTGGATTTGGAGAATCCTTATTTAACGGTATAATAAAATATCATCATGTATAAGATTCAGTTTGTGTAGGACATATGATATAGGAAGTTTAAAGAAATAATAAGTCATTCCTATTATGTGATAACTTGATATCATATTTATCATAGTTATTTATGGAATGTTTGATGTATTTCCTTAATTGTTACATCAATTGTTGGATTGTGTGGTTTAATGCACCGGTATGGGACGGTAGCATTTTAGGGATGGATTAACTTATCAGTTAAGTTCTACCTATTTTATATAAGGGAATGGATTAACAAAAATGTTAAGTCCTACTTATATTTAAGTCAGGTCAGCTGAACAAGTTGAATGACTTATGGAGGATTAATTTATTATATAAGGGAATGGATTAACTAAAATGTTAAGTCCTGCTTATATTCAAGTCAGGTCAGCTGAACAAGTTGAATGACTTATGGAGGATTTCCTTTAGTGTGTGTATATATATATACGGACTACTAGTTATTGTTGGATTGACTAGGATGTATACGTGTATCGGATTTCTGCTTGGACTGTAGTAGAGTAGAACTTGTTTGTGGGCCTGACCCACCATTATTTTTCAGGTGTTTGTCACGAGTAGAGGTTGTTCGTGCTGAGCGGGGATCAATCTACTTCATTCTTCCGATGCTACATAGGAGTTCCTTTATGATTCAGTTTCCTGTTTTAGATTACTGTCATTTGTTTAGTTTGGATTTTCTAGGGGTCCACACAGTATGGATTCTCGAGTTGTATTTTGGAGGATCAGTTGTATCAGAAGAGTTTATTAATTAATGGAAATATATTATGAGGTTTATTATTAGATTATCATTTTAGTTTATTGTCAGCATTTTATTTATTCTTCTTTATTCTTTTGTACTCTGTGTTCGTTTATTATCAATTTGTTTTGATATCCTCAGGTATTCGGGCGTGGGCCTGGCCAACCCGCATTCGGAAATCTGGGAGTATCACAGTTGGTATCAGAGCACTCCAGGTTCAAGTGTCCTTGGGAGTGTCTTTCGTTATGTGACTTCTGCGTTGCGTCTCTTAAAACTTAGAGCCAGTATTAGGATTCGTTGTACTCTATTTACGGTTTGTTAGGAGGAGCTGATGTCAATTATATTTTGTAGTCATAGAATGGTTGGTACTAGGAAAAGGATGGGTTCAAGGCGAAAGCGATAAAGACCCAAAGGAGTAAAGGAGTACGTTATTGATTTCGTTGCCATAAGGCAGAGTTAAGGATTGACGGTTTAGGTTCGTTTAGCGTTACTTTAAAAGTATAAGCCAATGAAGGATTTAGGTGTACGTGATAGGTCACCGCATATTGGGACCAACACGACTTCAGTTGATCTCAAAAAGGAGACAAGCAAGGAGTAGGAGCCGAAAAAAATCCTAATGAAGGAGATTTATGTGTATCCAATAGAGAGGGTACTAAATCTTGAAGAGGGATGATTGCGCGAGGTGATCTAAATTGCTAGTAGTATAGCGAATGTTATTAGTAGAATTGAGGTTGATCAATCTACAAATAATTAAATCTTTCTTATCATCTCTAAAAGAGGTATAAAAGAAGTATTGTTCAGGAGTTTGGGGATCGGATGTGTTCTTATCAGAACGAAATACATAATTTTTAAATCACATACAAAAAGGCATTGGTATTATGTTGTGACATTCTAATTCGATTTATAAAGTCAAGTAAGACAGTTTACATTCCGCATATAAGGAGGATGAGGGTTAAGCCCTTGGTATTTGCTTAGGAAAACATTTGTGCTTTTAAGCGATGTTTTAAAGGATATGTTTCGAGGTTGAATGATTATTTACAAAACTATAAAAGAAAATTTTGAAACAATCTAGTAAGATTGATTTCAAATGAGACTTTATTTTCTAGAAAGAACAATGTCCTAAGTAGGAATATTTTGTTCTACTGTGTTTATCATACATGTTTTATTTTATTTTTTTGTTAATTACTCGGGATTTGATATGTGGTTTAGTTGGGAACATAAGTGTGTGATCAACCAATTATTGTTTTATTAAAAAGGAGTCATAGCGCTATTTACTTTAAATTTGTGAGCATACGGTCATAAGATTTGATAGATACACATAAATCTAACCAATCTATTGGACCTGGACATGTGTCATTATGGTGTGTTTTGGGATGGGATAATTAACCCATCACTACGAGTCAAACAATCTAGAACGATTAATTTGATATACTTTACGTTAGATATGGATTCGTATTATATTACAACGTCATGATATTGGTGATTGTTAATGTTTCGGTATGCGTGAGGTAGTGGTAAATAAAGATCACTAAAATGCCATGATGATATATCAGAGGTGCTGGATTTGCTGAACATCTTCTTGAAAATTTCAGAAGTTGTTACAAAGTCAGAAGGAGGATTTAGTACTGGATTAAGTACTATTGGAATGACACCGAGTGAGGATAGAAGACTGAATAAATATTCATCAATAAATTCTTAATCAAGAATTTATTCAAAAGGGTGTGTTGTTGGGAGGAATTTGCCGGTGTTGCACATGGAGGAGGAAACTAAGTCTCTTCATTTCCATAAATAAAATGGAATTATTTTTTTAGTCACAATTTACAACAATTAGCTGTTGCAAGGAAATTAATGACTTATGTAGAGGATGGGAA